ACCTCCATCTCCTACCGACCAACCTCATCCCGCCCCCTTGACCTGTCTGTCCTCCCTGGACTGACCTATCCCCTTCCTAACTCCCTACCTACACTCGCCTTTACTGGCTCCATCCCCGCCTCTTCGACCTGTTTGTTTCCTCTCCACCTATCCTCTCCTCTATCCCTCTTCTATCCGCCTCCCACTCTCTCCCTATTTATTTCAGAACCCCCTTCCCCTCCCCCTTTTCTGATGAAGGGTCTAGGCCCGAAACGTCAGCCTCTCTGCTCCTGTGATGCTGCTTGGCCTGCTGTGTTCATCCAGCCCTGCACCTTGTTATCTTGCTTTTAAATAAGTTTGGTTTGCTACTCTCTGGAGTTATTTGATGGATTTGATGGATTTGATGGGTGCGACTCATCTGTTTTTATGTTAAGATTAAGAAGAATGTTTCAACAGTTGACCAAGCAAGAAGCAAACTCTTCCCTCAATATCTTATTTACACAATAGCATTGCCAATGCAAATTTGTGAAATACAGAATCTCAATTGTAATTGAATGTAGAAAAACAATGTTGTGCAAACATTACCTAAAAGAAATTGCAGAACTCACTACTGAGTCCCTGGAGGAAAGAATTAAATTAAAATGTTCTATACAGTAAATGCACTTCCTTCTATTGGAGTATATGAATAGAATGCAGATTAAAGCAAGTCTTTGGCAAATTACACAACAGCTAGCTATCAGGTGATAGCATTACTCACCCCTGAGAAATAACTTCCACTTGACAGTGGGCCTCACACTGATATTTGGAAAGGAGGTTCTCTCACTGATGACTCCTGGTAATCAAGTGGGGAGAAGAGAATTGAGCAAGTTAACACTTGTCACTGCTTTACTGTCATGAAATTACAAAGATCCCACATATGATAATTCACACAAGGAAGCACCTGCCATTGTGGCAAATGGAGTGTCGGTTTTATTTAAGAGGTTTATTAAGCCTTAGAAATTACAAACAAGCCAATTAAATCAACACCAAATCACAAACTCTTAAGGCGCAACTTGATATAACCTGCATGCATACATTCTGCACATTTTCCAATATTCCACCTATGGGTTTGACTGAATAGTGGAGGCATTCTGTAGCCATTCTTGAAATTTCACCCAGCCAGTGCCTGCCACGTATTGGGGAAGACACTGTTAGGAAATTATGGTGTGTGTATGTGTGTGTGAGAGTGTGTGTGTACATGTGTGTATGTGCACATCAGTCATAGAGTCAGAGAGATAAGCACTTGGTCCATACCCTGTATGCTACAAAATTTCAAGTGTCCACCGAAATAATTCCCAAATGTCTTAAGGATTCCCACCTCTACCACCCTCTTGAATTAAGGATCCTAGTGACCCTTCCTTGACCCAAAATGTTAACTCTGTTTTCTCTCCACAGATACTGCCAGGTCTGCTGAGCTTACCCAGCAATTTTAATTTTTGTCTCTGATTTACAGCATCCGCAGTTCCTTCAGTTTTTAAATACTAAACGTATTTTTAAAAAAACACAAGAAAAGCACGTAGTGTGACAAATACACAAAATATCAAAAAAGCCTTCCAGCACCTATCCATTAGTGCAGGATTTCACCTATGCACATTACTTTTTTTATTCACTTCTGGGAAATGAACATTGTTGGCTGAGCCAGCATTTATTGCCCATTCCCAGTTGCCCTTGAGAAGGTGATGGTGAGCTGCTTTCTTGAACCACTGCAGTGCATGGCCTGCAGGTTGACCCACAATGCCATTAGGGACGAAATTGACAGGGAAGGACAGTGAGTAATTCCAAGTCTGGAAGGTAAGTGGCTTGAAGGGGAATTTTCAGTTGGTGGTGTTCCCATGTATCTGCTATGCCTGGCCCTCTGGGAAGTGGACATGGGGTTAGAAGATGTTGTCTAAGGGTCTGAATTTCTGCAGTGCTTCTTGTAGGTTGTACTCAGTGCTGCTACTGAGCGTTGGTGGTGGAAGGAGTGCATAATTGGGAATATGAAGCCAATCAAATAGGCTGTTTTGACCTTGGATGGCATCAAGCTCCTTGAGTGTTGTTCAAGGTGCACGCTTCCAGACATGTGGGGAGTATTCCATTGCACACGTAACTTGAGCCTTGTAGATGGTATACGGGTTTCGGGGAGTCAGGAGATGCGTTACTCACTGCAGTATTCCTAGCCTCTGAACTGTCCATATTGCTGGTCCAGTTGAGTTTCTGGTTAGTGGTTACCCCAGGATGATGATAGCAGGAGTTCAGTGATGGGAACACCACTAAAATGTCAAGGGGCAGTGATTAGATTGTCCCTTATTAGGGATGGTCATTGCGTGGCATTTGTAAGGCGTGAATGTTACTTGCCACTTGTCAGCCCAAGCCTGGATATTGTCCATATGTTGTTGCATTTGCACATGGACTGCTTCAGTATCTGAGGAGGTGCAAATGTGGCACTAACATTGTGCTAAATGGGACGGACTTTGATAGGAACTAACATCTCAAGACTTGGCATCCATGAGGCACTATGGGCCATCAACAGCAGCAGAACTGTACGACAGCAAAATCTGTAACCTCATGGCTTGGTACATCCCACTCAAACATTATTATCAAGCCAGTGGATCAACCCTGGTTCAATGGAGATTGCAGGAGGGCATGCCAGGAATAGCCCCATTCATGTCTATAAATGAGGGATCCACTTAATGAAGCTACCGAACAGAACCACCTACGTGCTAAATAGCATAGGCAGCAAATGATACACAAGGCTAAGCAATCCCACAACCAACAGGTCAGATCTAAGCTCGCCAGTCATCAATGGTGGGAGACAATTAAACAACAAACTGGTGGAGGAGGATCTATAAATGTCCCCATCCTCAATGATGGAACAGCATAACACAGCATCCCCAGGTCTCTCTGTGTGACAACACTTCCTAGCGCCCTACCATTAACTGTGAAATTCCTGCTCTGGTTTGCATTACCAAAATACAAGATCTCGCATTTTTCTAAATTAAATTCCATATACCACTCCTCTGTCCATTGGCCCATCTGATCAAGATCTTGTTGTACTCTTAGATAACCTACACTGTCCACTATACCACCAAATCTAGTCTCATCTGCAAACTTACTAACCATTGCTCCTTTATTCTCAAACAAATCGTTAACAAAAACGACAAACAAAAATGAAACCAATAGCCAACCCTGTGGAACTCCACTGGTCACAGGTCTCCAGTCTGAATAACAACCTTCTACTATCACCCTCTGTCTATTACTGTCAAACCAATTTTGTATCCAATTGGCTAGCTCTCCCTGGATCCCAAGTGATCTAACCTTATTAACCAGACTACCATGTGGGACCTTTTTGAAGGCCTCGATAAAGCCCATGTAAACAATATCTACCATTCTGCAATAAAATCTGAAAGAACTGCGGATGCTGTAAATCAGGAACAAAAACAAAGTTGCTGGAAAAGCTCAGCAGGTCTGGCAGCATCTGTGAAAGATAAAACAGAGTTAATGTTTCAGGTCCGGTGACCCTCCCTCACAACATGCTCATGACCTGACATGTCCATTGTCCAGGGACTTGTAATATTTGTTATTATACTGTTCTTGTGCTATGTCATTTTCTTTGGCTTGTAAAATGTGTTGTATCTACAACAATGAAGAAGATGACTGCAAAAGGACAAAGGACCAAGGGGGTGGCCCTACTACACACCATCAAGCCAACAGAGTACTAGTGGAATGGCGAAGAGCACCACATCGAACGATGGAAAGAGGATCAAGGATACAATGTCACTTGCTGAAGAACACTCTTGGAATTTTATTTGGACTTTACAATTGTAAACCCACCCCATTTGGAATGGATGGGATAGGGGAGCCTAAACTCTTACTACATTGTTTCCCTGATCACTCTTGAAATAACATATGATGTTTTGAGAATCACAGGGATTTTAGGTTTAGAATTGGACCAAGGATGAGAAGTTCAAAAATAATAAATATAGAAAAAAAAGATGTCTAGTTCCAATCCTGCTCTTAAATTATAGTATCTATTTGCCATTAATAACTATACTTTACAGGTTGCCCCACAAATGGCTAGAGGAATGCAAGGGCAAAGAGAAAAGAAATATGCTTTGACAACAATAGATGTACAACAAGGAGTTTTAATTGTCTATAGTATTCTGATCTGTGTGAATAATGCATGTTTCTTCACTCAGGTTAGCAACTCCTTTACAGTAGGAAACTATTCCTGCCTGGAAGAACAATGGGATTCCTGTTCAGAAGTATCATATACAAGCAGCTAGAACCAGTATGTTATCAATGGCTGGCACAAAGGAAGTTGTGAGA